CAATCAATCGTTTCTGGGCCGCCGACGACCTTCAGCGCCTCCGGTTTTGCCTCGGCCTCGCGTCTCCTGGAAGATGCGGCGGAGAACTGCGCGCTCAACGCGTGGTTCTCCGCTGCTGCCGACGCGTCGCAGTAGCGCGCGCAAGAACCTCTGTCCCCATCCGAAAGTCCCGCACTAGTCGTGACAGTCGTGACTCCTGCAAGAAAAGCATTCGGGCCTCGCGCAGCCAATCGGGCACGCCCTGCTATATTCTCCCGCCTCCGACCCCCAAGCTGCAGACATAAACGGATCACGTAGAGAACCGCGGATCAGATGATCAGACATGCCCAAACGCTCGGGGCCAATCCTTCCTGCGCACTCGCACGACCGAGATGCCAGCGCATAGTCGATCCGGCTGCCCGAATTTCTCGCTTCCCCCACAGATGCGCCCGCGCATGGCACGTGCCCCAGTCCTCGCGGAAAGCGCTTATGGCACGGACCCTCAAACGCTCTATCATCGCGAAGACTGCCTCCATCCTTTCGACGCATTGCTTCCCCCGCCGCCTACGCAAAGCACGAGATCCAGTAAGACTCCCGATGTCTGCGCCCAACGCCACTTGCAAGTCTCCCCGAATATGAAATGCCCCAGTCCTCCTTGGCGCACTGACTCTGCCAGAGCAGAAGAAGAAGCCAAATGCGTCACGATGGCATCCAAAGGTCTCGATGCATCCAGCAAGTCGGCGGCAATAGTTCCCACGTCTCCCGAAAGTGCTCCACGATGGTGGAAGTATGGATCCGCATGCGAAGCCCGCGCGCTTCCCCTTCGCTTACGCGGTGCGAGGACGGCAGAGAGACAGGAACCCCACCGAAGGAGAGGCCCCAGCCCGCAAGCTCGGCTGAGGTCCTACCTGGCGGATTTTGGATGGGCGACAAATGAATAATCGTCAAAAAGATACTCACACATTGATTTTTTGTTTAAAAATATACCGTCCCCTGACTATTTCTATACCATTTTTGGAACATTCGCTCCGTAGATGCACATGCCCGACTGAAGCTCGGCCTCCGACGGCCGGAACGGCCACTCCTGAACCGTCGAGACGCGCCCGAAAAATGCATCGACGTCGTGCGTGCGAGGCGGGGATTCATCCACATCCACCGCCTGAGAACGGACGTCATGGCGCGCAAACGGGCGGTGGACATGGATGCAGTCTGGACTCCGGGGGCCCGAACATATCCATGGCTGTCGCCTGCCGAGGTCTCCGAAAATCATACACCGGACGGTGGTCATGTGCAAACTCCCGCCTCGGAGTGCAAGGTACGCCGACTTGACGCATTCCAATTTTCTCATGATATACGTTGAAGGTGCCGGCCCCGGAAGCATGCGCTCCCAGGGGCTTTGCAAAAAAAACACTGGATTGCAAAAAAACCCTGGATTGCAAGGATTGAAAAAAACCTGGTTGTTTTGCAATCCTGGGTTTTTTTTTGCAATCCTGTTTTTTTTGCAATCCTGGGTTTTTTTGTTGTTGCAATCCTTCGTTGCAATCCTTCGTTTTTTCCAATCCTTGCAATCCTCCGTGGCCCCAGCGCCTCCGCTCCCACCTCCCCTGCTCCTGCCTACTCGACTGGCCAGCGACCAGCCCAAGAGGTGCGCCTCAGCCAGCTCAAGCTTGAGCTTGTTGACGTGGTCCTCGTAAGCCGCGTCGCCGGAAAGCTCCCACGTGACCGAGCCCGCCGATTTGTAGCGGGGTCCTTCTTGTAGTGCTCCTCTTGGATCCTCAAAGCTTCACTCCCGTGGTTGATGACCAGTTTTCTCCATAGTGGGGGTTCCACGATCACCGTCGGCGCTGAGCCACTGTGGAATTCGAAGCTGTTGTCCCTGACAAAGAGATTCTGGAGCTTCTGTGCGAGATCCCGCGCGTGGCTGTTCTCGCGGACGTTCCCTTGGGCCTTCACGTTCAAGACAATACACAACGTCATGACCCTCGCGTTCAAAGCTTTCGTCAAGGAGGCATCCACAAGAGCCTGGTCTTCCCCCGGAGCCTCATAGAGCTTCTGCAATCATTGCGTGGCCTCCTGCTTGGTGTTCCCTTTCGTCTGTTTTTCACCCCATTTGCAAATGCATTTGGACTCGATGTTCGTAGATAAAACACCGTGCTGACCCCACGAAACCCACAGACTGCATTTGACGACCCTCCAGCTCCAGACGCTCCTCTACCCTGTTCCTGGTTCTTCTTGTCCGTCCTCTCCCTCAAGACCCTGATCTCCTCTTCCTGGGTGTTCACCTGCTTTCGAACAGGCTGGATGTCACCTTTGACTGTGTTCAGCTTCTGGCGTAATGGAGCCTGAGAGTCAACCATCATGCCACTCATTACTCACAGAAGACGCTGATGTAAATCGTCCAACCCCTGCTCATGGGCATGACGCTCGGCAGAAACTGCATCGTCGAATTCTTCAATCTGCCAGAGCTTGTTTCCCCCACCGTGCTCACTTCCTACTCCCACCATCCCTGCTGGAACAGCAGCAGTGGAAGCAGGAGAGGGAATCGAATCGATGGACGTGATAGCGAGAGAACTTCGGTTCCTTGTGTGCACCCCCGTACTTGAGCCCTCCACTTGAGCCCGCATCCTCTTCTCGTCTTCCTCCCCCTCCTCCTCCTGCTCACCCTCATCCGTCTGCTCTCCTCCTACTCTGTTGTAGCTGTTTGACGACTTGGTGCAATAGTGGTCAGCGCGAAACCTCTCGAGGTCTCCCCAGACCCTCAGATTCCAATGTCGTGAAGCATGTTGACTGGTCTTTGCGCCCGAATTCCGAGCTTGGGAGCTTAACACATCGATACAAATCCAGAAATGCAGCAGAGAAATGGGGTCGACGGTTTCAATGTTTTTGTTCGCTGTGTTGCCATTTCTCACGTCACTCCCTCCGTCTGGTCCTTTTTCTTCTCTTCCTCCTCCTCCTGGTTACACTGTTCTTCTCCTCCTCGTTCTCCTTCTCTGGTTCTCCTCCTCCTTCTCCTCCTCCTGCTCGTCGTCGTTACACTTTTACTCCTCCCCCTCCTCCTCCCCGCGCTTCCCTATTTTCCGTCTCCACCTTCGTGCTCGAGTGCACCGAGACAGGGCCCCTCACTCATTTCTTCCCTCCTCCTTCTCATCCTCTCCCTCTGGTGCAGGGTGCAGGGTTCCGCAGAGCCGAGTAGGCGTCGGGAACGCTTCGGACCGAGTCCGAGGGACAACTGCTGGCTGGTGTCGCCGCCATCCTCTTCATGACCTTGTTGCTTGCTGTATTAGTTTGGATGAACGTTTGTCGACGTCGCGGGCCTGGCCAGGTGGCATGCGACAACAAGGGCTCCCAAAGAGTTCTTGGGGCCGCAAGGTTCGGAATGCATGCGCTCAGCGTCGTGGGTGGAGACGAGCATCGGTTGACCTCCGCCCTGGAGAGAGATCGGGGATCTCCTGATCCGGGTCAATCCAAACCCAGGTCATCCAAACCTTGCAGAATTCTGCAAGACCCTGCAAGATCCTGCACCCAAACCCAAGTCAACGCGAAGAATCCTGCAATATCCTGCAGGACCCTGCACCCAAACCCGGGTCAATGCGACCCTGGCCCTGCAGGATCCTGCAAGATCAGGCGCTCTGGCTGACCCCCGTTTACATTGACCCTCGTCTCTTGTGCCCCGAAGAGAGACAGCGGGGCTGCTCGAGGAAGTGGAAATCTGGTGCATGTGGTTTCACTCGAAGTGTCTGCACCGATCCACGGCACGGCTGGTGAACTCCTGACTGACCCTACGGTTAGGTCGGGCGTGTCCTCCTACAGTGGAATATTGGACGACAAATAAAACACATGCCAACTATATATACATAAATGTCAAATCAAAAAAACGCAAAATCGTCCACATAATACTACTTTATTGGAATACTCCTCCTGTAGAGGGACAGGCCCGACTTAACCCTACGGGGCTTCTCCTCCTCCGCTTGCAATCACAGAAGAGGTCTCACGGAAACGCAAGCTCGCATGCCCCCTCTGTGCTGCGCCGAGGCCGCGACCGCCAGCCGGACCCTCCTCGCCACCACCACGGAATAAGAGCGAGGGCATACCTCCCCCTCGCCAGGTTGGATTGCGGCCTCTTGAAGCCGGTTCGGCAACGATCAGCAGCAAAAGAGTAGTCCCGGAAGACAGAAAGTACCAGGATTCGGGATGTCGTGGCCCCCTGGGCCATCCTGAACGATCAGCAGCAAAAGAGTAGTCCCGGAAGACAGAACGTACCAGGATTCGGGACGTCCAAGGGCCCCCGTCGTGAAAGAGCTACGAGGCCGGAGTGCGTTGCGTGATGCGCTGCGTTGGGTCGGGCCACGTCAGCACGGAGTCGGACTCTTCTAGGGTCGGCAGCGCCATGATGCGCAAAAACCAAATGATGAACACTTCGGGCCGCATCGAGATCGTCGGGGGCCGGATCGGGGCGAGCGAAGAGAAACGGGCCCTGCATCGTTCACCAGCGGCATACAATCACGTACTGCGGCGCGGGTTCGTGTCGTGCCGACCCGGGCGTTGGTTCCTGACATCGCGGGGATCGTTCAACCCTAAACGATCGGCCGCTCACGACACGTCAAATCGTCCATCATCGACCGACTCTGGGTCGCGGGCGGCAATAACGTTGAACGCAGGCAGCGGGGTCGCCAGCAGTCGACACGATGCGAATCTATCGTACCAGAGGACACCTGGCCGCTCCAACAAACGATCCAGTGGGGGCCCGACCACAAGAAACCTTCCACAAGAAACCCAAACCCTGGGACCCCATGACGTCCATGGATTTTTGGTGTGGGGACGTCGCGCTCTCCATAGCAAAACCATCGAAACCCAAGAAACCCAGGGCACCCTGGAGGCGAGCAAGGTGTTTCTTGGCATGGGTCTCCACTGGACCGTACCAAAGGACCCCTGGTCGCTCCAACGAGCGACACAACCTCCCCGGCCTCGTCGCTCCACGTCCCCGATCGCGCGGGAGCCTGCCGTGGGAACGGGGGGCGCGCCTTCTGCATGTCTCTCGCCAGGGACTCGTGCCGCGTCATCTCGGAGGAGACCTGCTCGAAATTCCTGTTGACCTCTAGGATTTTCGGGTGTTGCTAGAAGTGCCCCTGACCAAGGTGCCCCCAGCTTTCGTTCAATTTTCGAGCCTCTGGTGCCCTCTAGGCCTCGTGAGGGGTGCGCTGGAGGCCGAAGGGGCCTCCTTGGAACTCCTGGGGGCACCATGGGCCAGGGGCACTTCTAGCAACACCCGAGATTTGGATCGCAAGCGCAGGGCGGCCGCAAGAATGCCCCAAGAGACTCCGCGATGACCCTCAGAGAGCCTCAAGATGGCTCCAGGAGACCTCCGAGAACACGTTTTCCGGGGCGGCTGTTGCACTGCACTCTTCTACGCTTCCCCGATCAGGGCAACTCGCCTGGCGATCTGTTTCTGGATGGGCTGGTGGGCATGCGCGAAGCGTCAAGCATTCCTGCAGACCTCCAAGATTTTGATCACAAAAGCGCAGCTACGCACACGATGGCTCGTGTGGCTTGCAGTGGCTGTGCAAGGATGGGGGGCAGCAGACGCGGACCAAGAGAGAGAAGGGGAAGTCTGGCCGAAGATTGGCAGGAGGAGAAGGAGGATGAGGACCAGTGGAAACCCAAGAGTCATCAACGATGTTGGAATTAACCCTCCCTCCAAGCTCTCTCTTCATAGGCCCCTACAACGGATCATTTCCATTGAGGGCACTGCCTCGCTGGAAGACAACAGTTTGAATATCCTGAAGCGTGCCAGAACATTGTTATCGGGATTTCAACGCCACGTATCGCCCTGACTGCTGCATCATGACGATCCAGAATCGTGCCATAATGCCATTTCTGGGACTTCAACACAGCGAATTAAAATTACTGCTGCGCCTGCATAATCCTGAACCCTTCCAAACAACATTTCTGGTACGCTGATCAAGGGAATACATGAAACTCTTGCGAATTTAAAAAAACGAATGTACGCGGCGCTGAGGCGAGAGCCACATTTTGAAAAGGAACCACCCTCAAGATGTGAAACTCTGGCATGGCTGTTTTATGTTATGTCTCCTATATATATGTATAACGAATGTGCGCGGCACTAAGGTGAGAGCCGCACTTTGAAAAAGAACCGCCCTCAATACGTGAACTTCCTGCAAAACATGAATGTGCGCGGCGCTAAAGCGAGAACCACATGTTGAAAAAGAACCGCCCTCAACCCGTGAAACTCTTGCAATTTGTTAAAACGAATGTGAACAGCACTAAGGCGAGAACCACATGTTGGAAACGGCCCGCCCTCAATCCGTGAAACTCTTGAAAATGTGCAAAACGAATGTGAGCGGCGCTAAGGCGAGAACCACATTCTGAAAACCACCCGCCCTCAATCAGCTAAGCTCTTGCCAATTGTTGAAAACGAATGTGCGCGGCGCTCAGGAGAGAGCCACATGTTGAAAACCGCCCGACCTCTATTTGTGAAACTGTTGTCACTTTTGAAGCTTCAGAATCATAAATGGTGGAGAAGTCTCAGGCGAAACGCCCGGCCCCCCCTAAAAACTGGCCTCTGGGCGCGACAGGGAGGAGTGATCTATAAGGAGAAAGAATGGAGGAGGAAGAGGAGGAGGCGGGAGGGGAGGGGGAGGGGGAGTGGGAGGGGGAGGGGGAGAAGGAGGAGGAGGCACCCTGTGCCCAGAGACAGGCAGCGAGATGGTGGGGTCACATGAAGCGCCCAAGGGCAAGACAGCCGAGCCCCGTGGTGCCCCCCCCCTCCCTTCCCTTTCCCTCTCCCCCCCTCCCCTTCCGCACCCGCGCTCTAACCTCCCGCTCCCCTCCCCGTTCCCCCCTCCTCGTCATCCCTCCTCCACTCTCCTCCCCTCCCTTGCCTATCTCAACTCGCGCCGCGATCGCTATCACCTGACCCCTCCCCTCCCTATCTTCATGCCCTTTTCCCTCCCTGGTCTGGAGAGCACGTGCATAGTAGCGTTTGGTGAGCTCGCTGGGGCGGAGAGGGTGGGAACACGATGGGAGCACGATGCACCATGCGCTCAGGCACGCGGGGATTACGTTTCACCAACCGTCCGTCATTCAACCACCTCGCCCCCGTAAACACCGGCCTGCTCGAATGGGGGTTCGACGCAAATTTCTGCAATGAAAGAAGCGGGTCCTGAGTGAAACGGGTCCTGGACCCAAGGGCTTTCTCCAGCTCCCCCGCTTTCTCCCCAAGCCGGCTTGCCGTCGCCGAGTGCGCCCAGACAGCGAAACATCTCGGGACCGTTTGCCTCATGGCGGATTGTGCTCACAGAGCTTTGGTCGCTCTGCTCTGCTCTACCCCTCATCCTCGCCTCTCTGCTCTACGATCGGGCCTGGAAAGGAATAACACCCTTCATAAAAATGAGACCCTCTGCTGGCCCAGGGGGGGTGCCAGGGGGGAGTCCTTTTCCTCCTCCTCCTCCTTCTCCTCCTCCTCCTCGTCCTTATCTCCTCCTCTTCCTCCTCCTCCTCCTTTTCTTATCTCCTTCTCCTCCTCCTCCTCCTCCTCCTCCTCCTCCTCCTCCCCATCCTGGTCGTCGTCGATGTCTTTCAGGGTCGGCGGCACCAGCCGTCAGACCTTCACAATAACATCCTTCATAAACATGAGACCCTCTGCTGGCCAGAACCCCCCAGACAATTCAAACCATCAGATCACTCGAGGGTGCGCTCCCCCAGGATGCACAGGAACATCCAACAAGCAGGAAGAACATCAGGGCATCCTCCCCGAGCCGACCTCGATCTTATTCCTCGGCTCGGAACTACCCTCGCTCACATGCCATCGCTCGGACGTCCATTCCCCGTGCCATTTTCGTCGTCGTGCGTGTTCCTCTGACTCGATGATCCAGGATGCTCCGCGATGCTCCTCGCCGAGGAAAAGCGCACCAGGCCGCGATAAAGGCGATGTTTGTTAACGGCGATGTTGGGAAACCGACTTTTGTGACGCCGAGCTGCTCGCGCAGAACAAATTGTAGGAAATAACGAAACACCGTCCCCTGCATTGCAGATGCGAGTGCATCGAGCGGGAACGACACGGCGAGCTGTGGGAAAGCACGAACCGCGCGTCCCTACAGGTGGCTTGGCCACGGACCACGCCCCCCTACGACTCGCTCTTCTGCCTCGCCGTTGGTCAGCACACCGCCAGCGCGTCTATCGGGTCGGGCGAAAGGGGGGGATAGCAAAGGGGGGGTTTGAGAATCAGCTCACGTAGCTGATCTTCCTGGCGCCGGAGGCGGCTATGTGACGAGGAATGGGCCCCTCGGTGGGGCCGAAACCAGCTGCATGCAGCAAATTTCGTAACCCCCTTTTCCCAATCCCCCCCTTTCGTCCGGCCCGAGTCTACGGCGCACACCTCCGCACGATGCCAAACTCACGTCTGGGCCGAGGGCGCCGCCGGGCACCCGCGGGGCGCGACCTGCAGGATCGCCGCAGCGAAGTTCTGGCGGTCCTGCGCGGCCTGGGGCGCCCTCCCCCTCGCGGCCGCTCGGGCGCCCCCTTCCCCCGCGCGCTCGTCGGCGTCGCGCGAGCTTCTGGTTGGCCCGATGGTCGAGGAGGCTCCTCGAAGGGCCTCGCCGAGAAAAAAACACACGCACACACATCCGAGCGATGCCGAGCTCCTCCTTCTTCTCCTTCTCCCCCATGGTGCCCCCCCCCGGGGACGGGGGAGTCTTTCTGGCCCGAGCGACGGTTCGGCAGCGAGGAGCGCGGATCTCGCCATCGCTCGGATGTCCATTCCCCGTGCATGTTTCGCCGTCGCGCATGTATTATTCGCAAGATGGTGAGCGTTTCTTAATTCGGCGTTTCGACATTGGGCGGAAAGGGGGGGAGGGGGGGTCCTCCAGAGCTCTGCTTAGTGGGACTGTTTGCAAGAGTGCTGCATCTGGGGGAGACTCTGCCAGCTCGAAACAGGCGCCAAAAAACACAGCCAAGATCTACTCCATGGGGGGGGAGGGAGGGTTGGGGGCCTGCGCCGATCGGCAAAACAATGAATGAACAAACGATCACCTGCGTGACATGAATGCGACGCATCCCGTTCACCTCAATGTGGCACTCCGTGCGAAGGAATGAGCCAAAACAGACAGGTACGCTATACACTTGTGCTGTCAGGCCCAGTGCGCGCCATCTCGGTCGCGCACGCCCTCGGCGCGCGCACACGCGCCACGCTGCTAACGCGCGTGAAAAAATAGTTTGCCGTCCCCCCCAAAAAATTGCTTATGCTGCAAAATAAAAAACCGCGTCGTCGCGACACGCGGAGAAGCGGTAAAAGCCGACGCTGCGTCCCCCATCACGCAGGGGGAAATCCGCCTGTGCGGACACACATCGCACTGGGCAGTCTGCCTGGCGGCACAGATCGGCGATGCGAACGGCGGAGACGTCCGCCCGTGCGGAAACGCCAATGTGAAACGTCGCGTTCGCGAAGAAACAGGGCTGCGCATAAGCCTACAGAAGAGCCGGGCAGCACGCCCGAAGTGGAGCTGCATGAGGTAATTCTGAGTCGGGAGCGCGCAAACATGGATTAGCGCTCCGTGGATTTGGCGCGCGGTCGCCAAATCCATGGATCGGGGCAAGTGCCATCCCAAGAAAACGGCCGGTGCCGACTCGCTCGGCGGCGGAAATCCGCGATTCCCCTTAATCCATGTTTGCGATCGCCTGACTGAGGGATGCTGAAAGTAGGGCGGCTTGGCATGGGAACCCCCACCCCCCGCACGGCCGCCTCACAGAAGTGATATTGGCCGTGCAGCGCCTGCAATGTTTCTGATGTGGTTTCCCCGCGAGCGGGTGGTCCAACCCCATCCTCTCTCTCTCTCTCGTTCTCACCCTCTCTACATTCGTACATGAATGCATGTACACACGTTTGTATGTACGTGAGCCTCTATCCGTGTGCACACATGTGTTAGCAAACGTGGACCCCAACCAGTGCGTGACTGCACAGTGTAAGTGAAAATCATAGCGTGTCACCTCTTTGGTGACAACTCTGTCTTATACGCTATACGGTGCAAACTGTGTGGTGTAAGCAATCTCGTGTTAACTGAGCGGTGTGAACTAGAAGTGGAGACTATGGGGCGCACGCTATGTGGTGCAAGCTCTGTCGTGTCACGTCTGCGGTGTGGACTGTGTGGTGGAACCTATGTTGTACAAACTCAGAGCACGGGGCGCCTGGCACCCACGAGGCGGCACGGGCGGCAACGAGGCGAACGTCGGCACACACACACACACACACACACCAGGAGAGGAGGAGGAGGAGGAGGAGGAGGAGGAGGAGGAGGCCAGCGAACGGGGCGCCCACGAGGCGGCACGGACGGCAACGTGGCGCCGCCGTGGCATGCCCTCAAACGCAGGGCGCCCGCGAGGCGCCCACGAGGCGACACATGGGCCGCAGCGTGGCGAGGGCCCAAAACACCAACCGCTTACGTTGGCGACGCAGCGCGACAACCACTAAATGCAAGACGTGTTTTCAGAGTGTGTGTGTATAAATACACATACCCTCTCCTCTCCTTCGTTCGTCCTGAATATATGTGTATATATACATGTATATGTGTGTTTAAGCATGATGTGTTTGTAAATATACATATGCACTAGAACCATCGCGCGCGCTCAAGTTCTAGCAGCGCTCGACAAGCTAACGCATGGAATCTCAATCGTCGGAAGGCTTCGTGAACTTAACAGCCATCTTGGAATCCCTGCGCAAGACTCGGAAACGTACAAAAGTGGAAACGACGAAAACCAGTAAATCATCAATTTCCTTTAGGTGGTCGAATATGTGGGGCCCTCGAAGGTTTCCTGGGATCGTTATTCGGTGGTGACGGGGGCCTTGATTATAGTCCGTTGTGCCAGAATAAGTAGGGGTAGCGTTGAAAAATAAGTGTTGGAATTATTTGTTTCAGCTTGCCTTGCCTGGGCCGCGGGTCAGAAGTTTACTGGATACAGGCCGTGGACGATTGGGACGCCTCTGGGGGCCTTTTGGCGGCGTCTTGACCAGAAAAACGGCCGCAGAAGCGGCGATCTGATTCTTCTGTTGGCCCGACCTGGACACAACGCGGTATCGCAGTTTATCGTTCGCCACATCGCTAAAACTCCAACGCTGAATTGCGCGCGTGGGTCCGCAATACACACCCTACCAGACCTCGCCATGATGCACCGCGATACGCTGCCTCATCCGCCCAGAAATGGTCGACGCCATCAGCGTCCGATTTTGCGTCCGATTTGCGTCCGATTTTTGTCAGATTTTAAATCCGGTTTGCGTCTGATTTATTTTAGTATTGAATCGACATACAAAAAATCGGACGCGAAATCGGTCGCAAAATCGGTCGCTTCTGGGCGCACTTCCGGGCGTTTTTTCGGGCGCTCCTCCAGAATCGCGTCAGGGCTATATTCTGGGCACTCTTGATGGCGCTTTCCTGGGCGCTGTTCTCGGCACTCTTCTGGGCTCGCCCGGTCGCTTGCCCCAGCGCGCTCCCAGGCGCTCTTCCGGGCGTTGTTCTGGTCGCCCCCAGCGCACCTTCTGGACGCCAGGCGCGCGCCCAATTTGCAATGTGAAACCGAAAAACCAAAACAAAAAAATCAGAAGCAAATCTGCTCTGCCACCGCGGCGACTTTCGGGGCCTCTTGGGAAGCTCCTGGTCTCTCCTGGGAGCCTTCCGTGAGTCTCTGAAGGCATCTAGGGGGCGCCTCGAGAGCCTTTGCGAGAACTTTGGGGTTATCTTGAGGCAAAGCGCGGACCTTTCCCGGGAGTCTTCCCAGAGTCTCCGCAGGCATCTTGGGGGCGCCTCGAGAACCTCAGGGAGATCCTTGGGGCCACCTTGAGGCAAAACGCTCGTAAGGCTTTGGGAGGTCCTCTCTGTTGTCTCTTTCTTGGCACGCGCGCGCTGACGTTCTAGCTAGGCTGTACATGAGAACTCATGGGATCTAGATTTTTATTGTGATTTGAGGGGCAGCCAAGAGGACACGAAGACGACCCAAGAGAGTGCCAAGACAGCGTCAGAGAGTTCAGCAGCACTCCCGAACAATATTTGCAGTGTGACCCCGAAGTCTTGATAGGGGCTCAAGATGAACTTGAACAAAACGAAAATCACTGGATGTAATTTTCTTTTCAAGCGGGGACTCCTTACATGTGCGCAGGAATCGGGGGGGCCTAAGAGGCGTGCAGGGGGCTCTTGAGAGGCAATTTGGAGGCCGCTGTGAAGCTGTTTTGGGGCCACTGTTGGGCCTCTTCGGGGCTCTTGGGGGCCTCTTCAGGCTCTTTGGGGGGAGGCCTCCTGGGGGCCTCTGGGAGCGGAAAGCCAGCCACAAATTGGAAGCGACCCGCCCACTATCTGTGAAACGATTGTCAACTTCTGAACTTCAGGATCGTACATGCAAGCGAAACGCCTGGCCCGCCCTTTTCGACTGGCCTCGGGGTGCGACAGTTAGGAGGTATATATGAGGACCAGGAATAGGGGAGCAGAAGGACGACGAACAAACGATCAGTGCCAATTTTGCGGTATAGGTGGTTTGGGGTTGATGGGGGGGGAGGGAAAAATAGGTGCGTAGGTATGTATAGACGCTAGGGGCCGCTCCTGTGATCTACCTTCGCTTCTGGTTTCCAACGCATGTCGCTGGGATGTACGAGGAGGGGGAGGAGGAGGAAGATGAGGATAGCAAGGATACAGATATACGAACTACGAGGAGCAGGAACATAATAAGTGGAGGACGTGGAGGAAATGCAGGAGGAGAAGCTACGAGCTGGAAGGATGAGGAGAAGAAGAAGGACTATGAGAAAGAGGGGAAGGAAAGACAATAAGGACAGGCAGACGGAGAACAGGAGTAGCAGCCGATGTTTTGATACCTGGTCGAGGCCCTGGTGTCAAGGTTTGGTTTTTCGCGACGTTTCTTGTAGCCGAGCCCCTGCTGCAATCGTTTCGTCGGTGATATAGTATGTGAGCGTTGCTCTCTGAGGGAGTTAAGGTGTCTTTCATCTGGTGGTGTTATCATCCCTGGGACCGCCCATTGGATGATGATGTGGAAAAGGAGCAAAAGGAGGAAAAGGAGGAAAAGGAGGAAGAAAACCAATCTGTATAGCATACCGATGGCGATGATGATGACGACTACGGTGATCATTCGGATGCGGGTGAAAAAGAAGGGGAGGATGTAACGAGGAGGAGGCTGAAGAGGATGAGGATGAGGATGATCATGGGGAAAATGAGGAGCAAACCATAATAATATGAGGATCTGGGTGAATAGAATAGGAGGAGGATGAGGATGAGGAGGGCACGAATGATGAGATGGATGGCTAGAGGAGAGAAATGATGAGGAGGATGCTGAGGAACTGGCGAACAATGGACATATGGAAAAAGAGAGGCTCGGGAAAGTCACGGGCAGACCAATGATCGACATGATAATGAAGATGGGTTGGCTCACACACTCTCGATGTATTCCTGGCGATGTTGATCCATGGCCCAGGTATTTTGACGGGCCTTT